TCTAAGAACAAATTAAAAATAGGCGCTAGGACACAACTATTATGCTTTTATTTTATATTTAATTTATTAGCTTCTGCGCTATATAAAAGTGTGCCCCCCTCCCTTACTCCCAGATGAGATCGATAAAATTAGGAGAGAAGATGATAAAAAAAATTTTGTAAAAAATAATTCGATTTTCACTAAATCTCCTATATATTTTTTTTCTACTTCGAACGTTCATATTTCGCTAAACGAGTCAATGTGGACTTTAACTATAGCTATACTATAATGTTTTTTAATTATCTTTCTATAACAAAACATAAAACGAAGAGATTATAAATACGTGGGAGGGAAAGTAACTCGTGAATTTCATATTAATATTAAAATACAAAGAGTATTTTAAATTAAACAGTAATTTTTTCTTTAAATCTAAATGTTATAGCGCAGACTATTTTTATTTAAATATAATTATACCGTGATCATAATAACTATTATATACTATCAACTTAATGTCTTTTTTTGTTGGTTTATCATAATCGTTAAACATGGCTTATAATATGAGGCAAAATGCAATTTGATACCAAAGATTTTCGCGCCGGGATGAGAAATCCTTTGAGGATGATTTAGTTGTAAAAAAATTCAACCCGAATCGCGAATAAAAAATTTCGATATTTGATTAAGTCTAATTACAATTTTACGATTAAATCCTAGTTTCAATGTTTGAATCGTTCCTGCAGCTAATTAACAATACTAGGTGTGCGATCTAGGTGACATTTTTTTGGAATATTTTGTGATAATATTATAAACATAACCACGCTTATAAATACTTTTCTAAGGGCCAGAGATTTAATTTAAAAAGTCGTTAAAAAGTGAGTTTTTACTACAAATCAATTAGAAGGTATATCTCTATTTGCATGTTTTATTTTTTTTTAAAGAAATGATTTGATTATATTATCTAAAAATATAAAATAAATTCTGCTAAATTCGGAAATAATTAAAATTTTGCTCATTCGCGCCATTTTTTCGCGCTAAATACATAATACACTCAATTTTGCTTGGGAAAAATAAGATATGTTTGCGAAGATGATGGCTTTGCCAATAAAATTTTGCTTGATTTGCACAATTTTTATGCTTACGAATATACGTATAATATTAATATCCTAATGTCCAACTTTTACTTTGAAGCCCTTAAATCATTATAAAAAATATTATTGAAAGCTCGCTAAAGCTGCCTTTATTTTCTAAGGTTCGATATCCCGCTCGCATTTTTTTTTGTACATTGTTTTTTTTAAATTAATCTAACATGTGTTTATCAGCTGAATAGTTGAAACAATTCAAATTTATTGTGTTAGATTCTAGTCGACGTCGCTTTGGATTTTATTTAAAAAAATTATAGTACCACGAGACAACTTGAAGCTTTGTATAAATATTTTATTTTAATTCAAAAAAATCGTTTTGTTTGATTATATCACTATTTTTTTAATATTTAAATTAAATTTTATATTAAAGTATGATCCGGAGGGACATTATCCTGAAACAAAGTTATTAATCGAATAAACTTTTTATTAAATTTAACATCTGTTTCCCTGTATAATTTATGAATTGAAGTGGTATTTAATCATGTGTTATAATGCGGCACAATTTGAGCATTTGCATTTTGAGCTACTTTTTAAATACTGGAACAAAAAAAGATACTGGCCGTAATTTATTGAAAAAAAAGCAAACCAGTTTGCGTTTTATAAAATAGTTATAATCGCTAACAATAATTAATTTGTGTGCGCTAAAAATATTTTCTTAAAATAATTTCAATACATTATGAGTGTCAGTACATAAAACATAATAAATTTTAAGTAACAATATTTGATTATCTTTTCAAATAAATATTTTTATACAAACTAAGAATTAAGCATTAATATTTATAAATCTCTTCTAAATTAATCTTACATCAAAATTTTTAATCAATTAATTTTTATATTTAAAAAACGAATAGTTGCTATTTAGACACATTAATTTACAAAACAATATTTATTCTTTCATATTTTATCATTAACCTGTCAAAATCTATTTTATTATATCAGAATATAAGTTCAAAGTTAGGTATTTTAGGCGCCAAAATTTTTACACTTTTACATCGATTACCATTCTATATAAATATATATAAATCAAAGGTAAATAATATTTTTATGATAGATTATTACTAGTATTTCATGTTTAGTAAAAAAAAAATTAACAATAACTATTTTTTATATGATTTTTTAAAGAAAATCCAAATTGGTAACATTGGGATTTTCTTATGTAATTTTTTCCATAAATTTTTTAAAATTAAATATTGAAAATATGATATAGTAAGAATTGAATATAGGCTATTTTCCATTTAGCAAGCCACTATAATATTTACAAAAAGTTAAGAAAGTGAAAATTTTATTTTATATTTTTTTAAAAATTTTATAAATAATTTTTAGATGACCTCAACATGTATTATACCAGAAGGAGATATATCTGATATAGATATTGAGAAGGGATGATGACTTTGAAAATGCCACAGTAGTTGATCTAAATATGACCTATGATATTTTACCAGATATTGGGTTGGAACTGGAAAATTATGATAATGATATTATCCCAAGTAATAGGAAAACCCTATGACGAAATAAGGATTTATATAAATATAATACAGAATTTAAACAAGAATTTTTGCCTCCACCTGAAAAGGAAATTTCGCCTTACAAATATTTTAAAAAATTTATAGACGATGATATTATTAACAATTTAGTAGAGCAAACGTATATTTATTCTTTTCAATTATCTGGCAAATCAACAAAAACAAATAGTAGTGAAATTGAAAAATTTCTCGGAATTCACCTTTATACGGGCATTGTTTAATTGCCATCAATAAGGCAATATTGGGCTATAGAGACAGTGATTCCTCAAATTTCTCAATGCATGACAAGAAACAGATTCTTGGAATTGAGAAAATAATTTCATATTAATGATAATAATAATATAATCCTTAGGGGCCAGCCTAATTACGATAAACTTTTCAAACTAATACCATTTATTAGTGCATTAAAAATGAACATGAGAAAGATTCAATTAGAGGAAAAATTATCAATTGATGAAATGATAGTCCCCTTCAAAGGGCGATGTGAATTTAAATAATATATTAGCTCAAAACCGCATAAATGGGGAATTAAAATTTTCGCTTTATGTGGATCATCTGGAATGCTATATGATTTCGAAATATATTTAGGGAAATGCACAAATATAAAAAAACTTTGATGGGAATTAGTGGAGATATTGTTATACGACTATTAGAAACTGTTACCCCACATAAAAATCATAAAATTTACATGGATAACCTTTTTTCTTCATATAATTTAGCAGTTGCACTCAAAGATAATGGCTTTATCATGTCGGGGACCATTAGATTTAATCAATTATTAGGATGCCATCTGGTTGATGATAAAATCTTAAAGAAAAAAGGAAGAGGGTCCCTTGATTATAAAGTGGATTCTAATAATAATATTATAATTTGCAAATGGTTTGATAACAAATTGGTTATCACGATATCATCATTTATGGGTATAAATTCCACATCACGAACGAAAAGATGGTCGGTATCTGAAAAATCTTTTATTAATGTCGAAATTCCGGCTATAATTCAAGATTATAATGCTGGTATGGGCGGAGTGGATCTCCATGATATGTTAATTGAACTATAAAGAATTGACATAAAATGGAAGCGCTTTTACATGCGAATTTTCTTTCATTTATTAGACTCCTGTGTGGTGAATTCGTGGTTACTCTATAGACGCCACTTCAAGCAGAAAGATGATAAATATATATCTCTTTTAGCGTTTAAAGCTCGGATAACTAAAGGATTAATGATGGCTGGAAAGGAAAATTATGGAAAAGAAGGTAAACATAATTTGAAGATTGAAAAAAAAGAAGAAATTGAATAGTTTTCATCCAATCCCAGATATTAGATTCGATAAAATAGGGCATTGGCCCTCGGCGGCTAACAGACAAAGATGCAAGAGTTGCAAAATGGTTATACCAGATTTGAATGTTTAAAATGTAAAATATCTTTATGTTTAAATAAAAATCGCAATTGTTTTATTTCTTATCATTCAAAATAAATTGTATATTTTTTTACATATGAATATCCCAATGATGACAATTGGTAACATTTTATAATTCTATATATATACACTTTTTAAAATAAAAAACGTTGAAAATATGTTATTTGCGTCTTATTTAACTCAGTTTTAGAAGAAAAAATTTTTTTGTTCACGGGAAATATGTCGGGCGCGAAAGAAACAAAAAAAATAAAATCATTTATAATTAAAATTTAAGAATTTATTTTAAAATTTTTACAAAATGTAAGTAGAATGAGGGTAGAATAAAGTGTTTTTATTTATAAACAATATAAATATAATTATTTAAAATACAAAACAAATGAGAAGAATATCATGATTTTTTATTTTTTTAAAAAAGTCATTGATTCAATCAAGCGAATCTTAAAAATCATAAAATTCTCGATTTATATTAATTTCGGCATCGGTATGACGCTAAGTTATAAATCTATATTATTTACTTAAGCTACGATAAAATCAAATATAATTATGAAATTGATCACATTATAAAGAGTAATGTGAATCTTCTGTCTCTTTTTAAATTATGTTGGTGTTGGATCACAAACAGCTGTTAGATCAAACCAAACACAGCTGATCAAGATATATTATTTATCAAAGATCTACATGGTAAGAAGCAATTCGGATAAGGCAACTTATGCAAAATATCCTTTTCGGACCGAACCAGACAATTTGTTCTAATATCACAAAATTTTTATTTCTTTCGCAATTTTTTTTTTGGGGGGGGGGGGGGTAATCGACTTAAAATTTTACGGGTAGAACCGAAATAATTTATATGGGACATGAGCAGATAGATCTAATCGTCCTTAATATTTATTACTAACACATAAAATAAAAGCATTACGATATAAATAAATTTTTATTTAGATTTGTCGCAAAAATTAAAATACGTGAAAAAAAATGCTCAACTTATGCTCATTATGAATCTCGAAAAGGTTGAAAAATATATATATATAATTTAATATCCCTAAATGGCCTATATAGTGTTTGTGGAATTGGATTGAATCGCATACGTCAGAATTTACCGATAATCAAATCAAGCCGAACGAAGACCTCACGGGTAATGATTTATTTTATATAAAATTTCTTATTTCTCTTATTAATAGAAATTAAGATAGATAGATAGATAGATAGATAGTTAGATAGATGGGTAAAAAGAAAGAAAGATGGAATCGATATCAAATGAACCCTATTCATGTGAGTTGAATAAACCAAAAAATATATCACTAGAGAATACGTTAGTATGTTAAACGTTGTTTATATATCTAATCAATGTCCATAAAATTAACATATCAAATTCAAAAATAAATATTTGAATAAAAATGTTTTTCAAGTGTTGATAGAAATTAATAAATAATAATTAGTTTGTTAAATTCAGGGCTGTGAACCCTCCTTCTAAAAAAAAGGGTTCTGGTACAGTGAAATAATAGAATAATGCAATACAATGTAAGAGAAATAATATTCTATTGTTTTTTAAAATTTTATAAGAGAATTATCATATCTTCAAAAATCTACTTTGACAGTGCATTGTAACTTTTCATGTATTCGACATTGATATTTTTTATTTAATTATTTAAAAAAAACTAGTTTTCCTAAACGATTCCTAAGTTTATAATACACTCCATATGATGAAAATACCCTACCAGATCTGTTGATTGTTTTACTATGAATTAAATGATCCTGCAAATTATTCTTTAATTATTTCATTGTGAAGCATAATTTTATTAATTCCCACTCACTGATATCGACTAGTTAAATTTAGACACATCGAATTTTTAATTGAAAGAATTTTATTTGGCAAAATATCTAATTAGCTCATGACTTATCAATATATATTTTTTTTAATAATTTCCTGACCGGATCTTCTGAAGCATTAACTTTTTACTTACAAAAAATTATTATACTAAGGTAAAATAAATAATTATGATGTATGATATTTTTCCATCTAAATCTGTAACTTCTCTAATTGAAATATTAGTATTTGGTTTAAATCTTAAATCAGAAAAATCGATTTTTTTATTTATTTTTTTTTTAAAAAAACCACAAATTTTGTCATCCCTAAATTTTAATAATTCACATACAAAATATATAATTAAACGACTACGAATAATCGTCAAATCAGGGTAATCGCCTAATTTTTTAAAACTTTTAATCATTTATTAGCTACGTTTTTTTTAGAAAACTTTTAAGAGGTCTTATTTTGTCTAAATTATATTCCCAGTAATCTAATTAATTCCAGTTAGTTTCAGACCAATTTGCCATAAAATTTTGAATCACTTTTTAATTTGAAGCGATATCTTTATGTGTATTTTTCAGAGTTGTTAAAGTATCTAGATACAAGTATCTAGATACTGTATCTAGATATAAAAATTTAGTATCTGTATCTGTATCAAGATAGATTTTTTAGAAAGGTATCTGTATCTAGATATTTTTTTAGAGGTATCTGTATCTGTTTTTAGATACTTTTTAAGATACATTTTATATACCCCTTTTTTTATTGTAAATAAAAATATTTGACTGTAAAATTTATTTTATTTCATATGAGCTTATGAAATAAATAAATATATATATATTATATATTAATATTTATTAATACTATAATAAAGAATTATATATACATAAAATATTAAAACTTATATATAAATATTCATTAATTTAAATATTATGTCCGAGTTTATCAATAAACTATACAAATTTTAATATTACAATATGGAAATGGTAAATTTTATTTTATAACTAAATTTTTAAGTTTATATATTTATTTAGATCTATATCGATGAAGAAGAGGAAGCAACAAGTTCTATTGCTTTACCATGGCCAAATTGAGCATATTTTAAAATAATATCTCAAAACAAAGAAAACAATTAATTCTCTGATGGTAAAAGGTTTGCCGTGTCTACCTAAAAATACAAAAATATCCGTCAGTATGACTTCAACGTGCAATATCATGAAGCACATAAGGGTATAGATAATATATATTTAAAATTCTAATTAAAATTTTAAGAGAAAATATCCAACCTTGTTAACAAAAATAAAAAAGGGGAAGGAAAATAAAATACTAAAGAAAATATTGGCAAGGCTCATCCTCCAATAATATTTTTGCTAAAAGACCTTTGACTTTAACTCAAGGCACTTTAGATGATTTAATTATTGCTTTTATTATAGATGGCATGCAGCCATTATAAAAGAAAACAATTGATACAAAGATTAGCTGGTGAATTATCAAAGTCATCAACTGACTGCAAGCAAATAACCTGCCAAAAAAAACAAATAATTTAATTTCAGTAGCCTACAGCAGATATAATTTCTAATAATGATTTAAATTTTGATAATCAACAAATTTTAAATAACTTTTTCAAAAATAAATGTAGAGATTTTAGCATTTTTAAAGAACTGATATAAAATTGTTATTTATTAAAAATAACACTACAATTCCTTCAAGCGCCCCTGTGGAAAGACTATTTAGTGTTGCTAAAAATGTCTTCACAGATAAACGAGGATGCCTAAATGATCAAAATTTTGAAAATATTTTATTACTGAAATCTAATAATTATTTAATCATATATTTTCATATATTATATTAAAATTATAATTTTGGTTATATTCTGATAAATGTTATATCGCGTCAATAAATTTTTAGCTCATTTCATGAATTTTCACAATATAATATTAATTTAAGTTTATGCAAACCTATAAGAGCATAAAAAATGTATCTGTATACAGATACATTTAAAAAATGTATCTGTATCTTGATAACTTTTTAGACGCTGTATCTGTATCTAGATAACTTTTGAGACTATGTATCTGTATCTGTATCTAGATCCATTTAAAAAGTATTTTTTAACAACTCTGGTATTTTTGCATCATTAAATTTTAAAATTAACCTAAAATTTTTCTGTAGAATTATCCGGAATTCCTGGGGTAGATTTTTAAAAGTTTAAGAAACTAAAAACTAGGTCATCGAGCTCGGTTGAATTCACGAATATATTTATATCCTTAATAAAACAAAAAGGGCGCATGTATATGGATCCGATCCGACGCGATTTAACAGCTGATCAATTTTTAAAATCTGTTTTACAGATCAATTTTTCTTTATTTATTAGTAATATCTTTAACTCTATTCATGTAAATAGATTTTAAAAATCGATCAGCTGTTTAATTTTATTAGATCGGACTCCACTATGAATGCAGCCTAATGCATTTGTTATTGTCACCCATGAGTCACATATTAACGTTTATTATAATTTTTCAATAAAAAAAATATATGGTAAGATTGCTGTGATAAGTTATTTTCCGATCTCAACCTGATTTCCGAGAATCATAAACGTAAAACGTCTATATGGTCTCTGCAAGTTATGCTATTGATTCTCTGCCCAGTATAATTTAATAAGTCTAATTCCTTTCTATATATATCCACCCAAACAACTTAAAAACTACTATATTGTACATTTAAAAAAATTGTAATATACACAATACAAACTGTTATCCTTTATATATATATCAATAGAAAATACTGGAAGAGATTACTAACGCTGAAACAGGTGCCCCTTGCTCTGCCCAACACATTAAAAAGGTTTAGTCCGCGTTTTTTTAAAAAAATATTTTTTCATTGATGGATGTATTTCTCCCTAATATGAACTCACAAATAATTTATATCCTTTCCATACACATTTAAGAAACATTTTGTGGACATTATGAAAAAATGTCTGGTATCTCACAATATGTCTAAGAGCATGTTGGATTCTTCGTTGGCCACGTGCATCAAGCTTTGCAAAGCTTCGACTTATATAAATATTAATCAAAGTAACAACGTGATGTTCATCATGGTTCAATCGGTGATGGCCGAAGTTAAGGTAAATTATATTAAATTTCCCCTGTTTTTTTATCAAGCTTTTTAAGTTTAACTCCTTATGGGGTTATGCTATGTAAATCATCTAACCTCGGACAATTCCAATACGAATTATATCTTTTAACCTAATAAAGTGATTTAAACGAAGTTGAGGCTAAATTTTTATGATGAAAACATGACTAGGCTATTTTTGAGTTTGCGAAAGCTAGATTATTTTAAAAAACCCTTACGGGACTTTAGGATTTAATATTTTCTAAGTTATTATTTTATCATTTAAATGGAAAAAATTGACTTAAAGATTTTTAATGCTAATATTTAATATTGTCGCATCCCTAATCGGAAAGAATATTTAGCTTGACTATTGTTCTGTGAAAAGGACACCATAAATTGCATTTAAATAATGTTTTAATTAAAATTTGATGGGCATAAAATATATGGATATTCTTAAAAATCCTCTACATTTTATCCAAATATAAACACCAGGCCCATCTTTTTAACGTCCACAGACCTTATTCCAGAGGCTCTTCATATTTTTCTCAAGATAAAGAGTTGATGAGAGATTTTTTTATAACCTGTTTTCGTGTTAATCCTCACGGTATGGATTTGTTCAAACTTTGCGTTAACACGTCATCTCCCATGATCTTCCACTTTGTCCTCTTTGATTCCCTTCACAAAATAGTTACTCAAGTAAATTTGATGATTACAAAATAAATAAAATTATGTAATTAAATTTTAAGTTAAAAAATTTCTTAGGTCATGCTCTGGTTCGATTAATTAGCAGCCAACTGTTTAACAACCTATAGAGCTTTGACTTAATAGCCAAAAATCTAAAAACTGCCACTAAATACTTTAAACAAATCAATAGGGGATCCTAGTTCAAAAGCTGTTTAGCCTAGGCTAAACGGCATTAATTATCAAAATTAAGTCGAACCAGCAGGATACAGCCTTGATACTTATTTTAACTTCTTTATTTTCACTCTTATTAAACTATTAAGCTACAAGGCCTTCTAACTTAAAATTTTTTCAAATTCATTATTTGCATAATATCGCCGGGGTGGCCTAATGGGTAAGATGTAGGCTTGGAAACACGAGTATGAACAAGGACGCGGGTTCAATCCTGGTAAGAACCATAAAAACTTTCAAGTTTTTCTTCGATGACTGATGTGTAAAGACATATGGTATGATGAATTTCGGAGCTTAGAGATGACACCCCGGTCACCGACAGGCCTGGACAGCCGGGTGCTAAGGATACCTGTCCAATAAACAAAATGAAGGACACAAATGAAAATATGAATATGAAAGCTAGGGCGTTCCCTCCATGCGACGCGCAGGGTGTAGACCTCCATCCTGTGAAAAATAAAGTAAAGGTCAAAGCAAAGAAGACAAGACTGGCAAGTTTGAATATTGGGACGCTTAAAGGTAAGACGAGAGAATTGGCATCAATGTTGAACAGGAGAAAAGTTGATATAGCCTGCATACAAGAGACGAAATGGAAAGGACAGAAGACTTTGATGATTGGAGATGGGTATAAATTGTACTATAATGGACTTGTTAGCAATAGGAACGGTGTCGGCATCATCCTCAGTCAAGATCTAACCTCCTCAGTTGTAGAAGTCAACAGGATCTCTGATAGACTAATGAAGATAAAACTCTGCATTGGTCAATCAATACTACACATCCTATCAGTATATGCTCCTCAAACGGGTTGCAAGGAAGAAGAGAAAGATGACTTTAGAGCTATCCTTGATGAAGCCGTAATGGAAATCCCTAAGGATGACCTAGTCATAATTGGTGGTGACTTAAATGCGCATGTGGGGAAAGCAAGAGATAGCTACAAAAGGCATCATGGTGGTTTTGGATATGGAGAAAGAAATGATGAAGGAGAGCACGTACTGAAATTTGCGCAAGCCTTCGACCTTGCCTTAACCAACACCTACTATAGGAAAAAAGACAGTCATTTAATAACATATGAAAGTGGTACTAGGAAAACACAGATAGATTACATGCTAATCTCTCGCAGAAGATTAAAAGATGTAATAGACTGCAAAGTCATCCCAGGAGAAGATATCGCCGCTCAACACAAGCTACTAATCATGGATTTACAAATCTCAAATAAATCCACTCAAAATAAGATAAAACTGGAACCATGCATCAAATGGGGCAAATTAAAAACAATGACAGATGCCTTTGCAATCAATGCAAACATTGAAACAATAAATTGCTCACAAGTCAGTGAAAAAATCTGGACAGACCTTTCATCCAGATTAATAGACACTGCAAAATCGACGCTAGGCTTGACAAGAGGAGGCAACAAATCACACAAAGAACTATGGTGGTGGAATCAAGAGGTACAAACCACTATACAGGAGAAAAAAGCCCTTTATAAAATATGGTACAAATCCAAAAATGCAGATGACAAGTCAAGATACAAAAAATCCAAGAGATTAGCTACAAAGGCGGTGGCTAGGGCCAAATCTATGGCATACGATGACATGTACGAAGATCTACATACCAAAGAAGGGCAAAATAAAATATACAGATTAGCCAAACAGCGAGAAAAGAACTCTAGGGATATAAACGGAGCTCCGAAAGTAATCAAAAATAAAGATGGGAAATTGATAATAAAGGAAAAAGAAATAATGAATAGATGGAAAGAATATTTTCAGGAGCTTCTCAACTTTAATTCCCACATATTGCATCTCGATGAACACTCCCCTTGTCAAAACCTTGTACAACCTATAACGGAACAAGAAATAATCACATGCCTCAAGCATATGAAAAACAACAAAGCTAGGGGTCCAGACGATATTCCAATAGAAAGCCTTAAAGCACTAGGAGATGATGGAATACATCTCCTCACAAATCTGTACAATAAAATACTTGGAAATGAAGAGGTCCCCCAAAAATGGAGGCAGAGCTATCTAGTTCCTATCTTCAAAAATAAAGGGGATCCACACAATTGTCAAAATTACAGGGGCATAAAACTAATGTCACACTGTCTAAAACTATACGAAAAAATAATAGAAAAAAGATTAAGAGATATAATCGAAATAGGAGAGACACAGTTTGGCTTTATGCCTGGAAGATCAACAACCGATGCTATCCATGCAATTAGGCAAATGAGTGAAAAATACAGGGAAAAGAACAAAAAGCTACACATGGTCTTTCTCGATCTAGAAAAGGCCTTCGATAGAATCCCAAGAAAACTTATCTGGTGGGCGCTACGCCACAAAAAAGTTCCCGAAAAATATATAAGAATAATAGAGGATATGTATATGGGACATACAACAATGGTCCGTAGCACAACAGGTACTTCAGCAGGCTTCACAATAGCCGAAGGAGTTCATCAAGGGTCGGCTCTCAGCCCACTTCTCTTCATTACAGTAATAGATGTATTAGCACAGTCTATACCTCAAACAGTCCCGTGGAATATGATATTTGCAGATGATATTGTGATACTTGCCGAATCCAAGGATGAAATGAAAGAAAGGTTAGTGAATTGGATAAATATCCTAGAAACGCACGGATTAAAAGTAAATAGAGAAAAGACGGAGTATATGGTGATAGGAGGAGATGAAACGGAGAGTATTGATATAAATGATTGGCAGATATCCGCAATTGAAAGCTGCAAATATTTGGGCTCCACTATACAAACAAACGGCACAATAGAAAAAGAGATAAAGAATAAGATTAATCAAGGGTGGTTAAAGTGGAGATCTTTATCTGGAGTGCTATTTGACAAAAGAATCCCACACAAATTAAAGGGAAAAATTTACAGTTCCATAGTACAACCAACTATTCTATATAGTTCGGAAACATGGCCAACCAAAGAATCAGACGAGAGAAGTCTACAAACTATGGAGATGAGAATGCTGAGGATGATTGCTGGGGTAACAAGAAAGGATAAGGTGCGCAGTACAAGAATACTAAATAGTTTAAAGGTAGTGCCCATTAAGACTAAGTTAATGGTAAACAGACTTAGGTGGTATGGGCACACAATGAGAAGGCCTATGAACTACATAGGAAATAAAGTTGAAAGATTGGAAGTGATGGGCAAACGTAAAAGAGGAAGGCCAAAACTTCAATGGGGCCATAAAGTTAGAGCCAATATAAAGAAGTATAAAATAGATAAAAGAGATTGTACGAATAACATAAAGTGGAGAGAGATGTTGAAGGAGCTTACCACCAGAAAAGGTGAAAGCTAAAGAGAAAAAAAAAAAAAAAAAAAAAAAAATTATTTGCATAATAAAAGCTTATTCCACTATACTGTAAAAGCTTGTATTGTAAGCTATACCCAATAGAAATGCCTTATTACATCATTTTCTAAGCTTTTCTCTTCTTTTTTAAATTGGGTAAAACCCGAAAATATATTTAATAAACGGATGATTAAATTTATTTTATAAAGTTAAATATCGTAAATTATATATGTCATTAAAATTGAATTGCACCTTTTTTTGGTCTCTCCCTATATTTTTATTTTAAAAAATGTTAGTTATATGAGGAGGACGAGTAGGGTTGTTGGACCGTCGATATATTAACTAGAAACTATTTTTTTAACCTTTTTTAAATAGCCGAGCAAGGCATGGTGGCCCAAAATTGATATACTCTTTAACAAATCTGTTGACTTGCGAAATCTATTTTCGGATGTATTAACTAAGGCAACTCATGGACTCGCCTTTAACGCTTCCTCGCGTTCTTCCACAGTATTTTATATACATTTACATCATCATATTTAATTTATCCATATTAATAACCTTTACCTTATATCAGTATAAGAGTGGAGTCACTGACTCCTTCCTGTCTGATTGGCCATACAATAATATATATGGATGCCATTTTGAAATAATCAATTTTTTAAAATAAATTAATAACTATATAATATTTCAGAGTTTTAAAGAAAAAGTAACGACGCTCAAGTTTAAAGATAAAAGTGAGGAAAATCCGAATTATAAACAATTATTGTTATGCGCTATCAAATTATTCAACATGAAGCCCATATTGTTTTTAAATGTAAGTTAATGATGACCTTTTACCTTTACCAAATCTTTTTTTAAATAAATTGCCAACGTTTACCTAATTTGCAAAGGGCAAATGAAACTGTCCAATCCTAAATCATTACTGTTATCTGGATTTTATTATTATGGATCACTATGTCGGTAAATAGTCACATGCCTAAAATGATACTTAAAATGGTTAAAATAAAAGGAATCTACATAAAGTCCAATGCCTCATGGGTTTAATATATATTAAATATAGGCAAAGGCTTGATTTTGGCAAGGGTTTTGCTTTAAAAAATATAAGGCTAAATTTTTAAGATATATTATATTTATCTCATCCGCTTGATTGCTATAAAACACATATATGAGGCATGGTTAGCTTTAAAGTCTAACATATATGTGGGTGTAAATATCTTTTTAACATGTGACTATTTGCCGGCATCTTGTGTTCCGTAACAATCGTCTCACCTGGACCAGATTTTTATCATCATGAATTCTTTAACATTTAGACCGATCTGTTATTTTTTTTAAAAGGTTATTTTTCGATTTACTAAATAATCTATAAAATTTTAATCTATAATCGAAATTAATATCTTCTTATTTTTTATTATACAGTAAAAATAAGTAACCAACTATACCAGTCATAATGTCACCTCTATTTTATACCATATTATATTGCTATAGCATCGCAGCGCTCAAGATCACCATAAATTTTCTGTGGCAGAATTAATTAACGCTCTGGCTTCATTGGTTCACTTAGCCTCAACCATGCCTGAGGTAGCTCAAGAAGCGATGAATGCTTTACTTCATTTACACAGTCCTGACATTGTACCCTATTGGTGTTTCGCACCAAATAAGGGGAACATTGGATTGTTATCCCAAAACACGCTAAATTTTTGCCAACACATGCTAAATTTTTGGAGCATCAGGTTTTTAAAAAGAATTTACATAATATTTTATCAAATTTTTATCTTATAAAGGAGCTTTTCTGTGTTTATGCAGAGACTAAAATTTTTTAATATTATACAAATTTAGCCACAAATATCTATTTATTAGATCTGACCTTAATTTGTTGTCACCGGGCCTAAATAAGCAAACTCGGGTAAAAAATTAATTTCTCAGGTCTATACCCGACCTCCTTGATCTCGCCAAAACCCAGATATTGGCAAGCGTTAGATTCATACAGTTTTATATTTTAAAAAATTTGTACACCACCCATCTAGTGCTATTAAACGGCTCGATTTGCACCGATTTTTTAAAAACGACTGACTCAATATTTTAAATATGCTTCGAGATTTCAGTTAGATGTCCAAACCTTTGTACCAACTATAAGCAAAATCTTCTGGCTTTCGAAATATTTTTCTGAATAAAATGTTGAGTTAGCCGTTCTTAAAAATCGGCTCAAATTGAATCGTTTAACAACACGATCGCCCATTGTAGAAAATTAAATGCTAAGCCCTCTTAAAAAGAGTAAATATTTTGATAATTATTATGACATTTAAAAATAATTGATTGTAATTTTAATTTAAAAAAAAGTTCACAAGTAATATTATCTGTGTGCCAAAAGTTGATTCAGCGTCATATACCTAATTATTGCAACGTTTTGAGATGGTTATGGCACGTGCTGACGCTCCGAAATGAGTACATGCTTAATAAACCAATAAACTTTTCCGCCAACGAACAGAATCTACTCATTGCCAAACAAATGTTTCTAAAATTAGAAGTAAAATGTTATTCTAGTTTCGTAAATATGATGTTCATTATTTTTTTCTTCTTAAACTGATAAGGTGGTGTGCTTCACCTTTATTTGGAGTGTCAATATCGACGCCGTTTTAATATCCATGTCGATATTCGCTAATTTATGCAAGGAGGTGGACATAAGATGTAGATGCAACAACAACGAAAAACTTAGGAATAAAATATGTCCAAATTACGAGGTTTATAAAGAAATTGCGAAAACGAGCTCTTCCCTAGTCCCGACAGGTTATTGAATGAATCAACTATATTGACAACACATCTTATTTATGTTCGGACAATTATGTTCAAGCAAAACATTATATAATAAGGATAAACAAATCTAATCATAACTTTGGTGAGCATCTAAGATAAATGAAACCAGCACATTCGTTGGTAAGGAAGAAAGCTAACGTTATGCACACCCTATAATATTAATGTAAACCTTTGTCTTTAATAAATATTTTTATTAAAGCTAATCATCTTTAATGGTATTAAAATGTTAAGAATATATTTTTTAAATATCTGTGATAACACATTTATGCTGCATATAGGTAGAGCTGCTAATCAAAAACAAGTTCTCAAACTTTTAAGGCGAATAGAATATAGCACTACTGCTACCGTTCAAGCTTGGGAGGACGCCTATAAATCATGGGAAGCACTGTCCAAAAATATTATATCGGATAATCCTCTGACCAAATTGAGTTGCAAGCCTTCCATATTTGCAAATAGATTTACAAATCAAAATTTTTCTTCGCAAAATACTATGGACGCAGCTCTTAATAGTCCTGTATCAGTGATTAATCAGGGTGATTTATCTTTAAATATAAATTTGGATCATGTCAATCAATCATTTCAGAGCTCAAATTCAAACGAAAGTTGCGACCACTCATTTTCACCGAGTATTGTCTCTAATCACCATGAAGCCTGTGGTACACATCAGATTACTCTTAGGTTCTTTTTTTAAAAATGTTTAGTAATTGTTTATGAATTAGTACTTACTAAATTATATACCTTATCTCTAGGGCTGTGCCGATATTAAATATCGAATCGGGCCTATACCTGTAAAAAACCGATCCGATCTTTTTTTCGTCTTTTGTTATTTTATGTTTTGTATATTTATTTTACATTATTATAATATTTTCTAAATATTTTTTTTTGAACAATGCAAATGCATAAAACCCCCTAAATTTTATTTATTTTTTTAAATAGATTTATAGTATTTTAAAAGTTTTTTTATAAAAATGGAAAGGAACACGCAAAGTTTTATTTATTTTAAATCAAGAGTAAAGCCAATTTTATTATTTATACTTTAAATAAAAGAATTTTTTTAAATATGGTATCTGAAAATAATTTTGCAAAATGCGTTATCTGCGGAATTCTAATTTCACGAAAAGGAATAATGAAAGATTCATTAATTCGATTTTTTGCATATAAAATATTGATTTTTTAATTACATTTGGTTCAAAGGGGGATGGTTAAAGATCGGTAAAATATTGGATCGGCTTTGAACCAATATCGTATCGGATCGGTGAAAATATGTGGATCGGCACAGCCCTACTTATCTCTATTTACTAATAGAGAATTTCAAAATATAAACTAATCTGTACTATCTTAGCATTAGCACAATCCCACATACCATTTAAAATACTATTAGCCCATCTATTGATATTTGAAATGACCGGTGATTGTTTTTTGCTGTCAAATCACACGAGAAAGAACCCCCCCCCCCCAAAAAAAAAAATTTTGAACCTAAGCACAAACAGGTCTGGGTTTTTATTTTACAGAATAATAATTTAACTCTACGATTAAATTTATTAAAAATTTGTTAACCTGAAAAATGAAAATTATATAGATATAACACGTTTACTTTTAAATTCAGTTCAAGTGAACCTAGGCAAAATTATCTCAATTTCATTAATTACCAATGGCGCTATGTGCACAGTGACGAAAAGGATCCCAATCATGATATAAATGAATGGGCAAACATAACGGGATACCTGCTTGCTTGTGGTCATTTGAGCCAGATATGTGACAATGATAATAATATCAATACCTATAGTTTGAGCGATAATAAGCGGCGAGATTCCAGTAATCCTACCATGATGAAGTTTTTTTAAAAAAAATTTTTAAATATTAGATAGCATATAATTGGTGAAGCAAAATCGTTCTATTAAGCAAGCCGAGATTTTTTTTCATTGATAGCACAAAGGGTTGGCATCTATTATCGTAATCTCGACTCTATATCAATACTTTTCTGGTTAAAATATTGAGCTAGCCAGTAGTTTTAAAAATCGGCTTAAATGGAGCCATTTTGCATCACTTATTTCGATAAAATATTTTAAGCTAATAGATGAATCACAGTAAATAATTCCAAAGGAGAAAAAAAGCCACCGAAAATAATTACCCTAATTCGCCGCCAGTAACAAATTCCTCATTTTTAGAAAATTAACAAAATATATGAAAAAAATTTGAGCAACAAGATATAAAAAATTCTTTGAAAGTATTTCCTTTGAAAAAAATTTCATAAAATATGTTAACCAAAATTAAAAACAATAAAAGGTAATTTTTAAATTTTATCATGTGTAACGTTATGGCCTTATCCCCAAACCCAGTTTTGGTGAAAATTAAGCCTAACAACCCGCAACTTTCAAATATTTTATGAGAAAGAATTTTAAAGGCTTAGAAATTTTACAAGAAAATTAGTTTTTTTACACTAAAAAAAATATATTTTTACAATTTTTAGACCCCCTAGAATCTCCTTTTTTTATAAAAAATTATGAAATGATGGGAGATTTTAATTGAGGATTTTCGCAATTGCCTTCAAAAATTGTTGGCCATGCAAATTTTTTTTCAATCAGTTGAAAAATAATAGTGATTCGTTTATCATAAATTTTGCTTCTCATATTCTCAATTCTCATGCGGATTAGAGACAAAAGTTTCTCTATGATAAACATTAGCTATAAAAGTTTTGTTTGTCTTAATGGTTTGTTAAACTTAAAAACTGTATTGAGTTTGAAAAAAATCTTCTGAAACTTGAATAAAAGATTCATTTTTTGTTATTTCATATTAAAAGATTTAATTATATATAAAATATATTTAATAAAAAAAATTTTTTAATTTTTAGATAAAATTTGAACTTTTTTTACTTAAAAAGAGATTTTTGAAGATTTAAACAATGAAAATTTTATGGATAATTTCAAATTATTTTTTTGACCAAGATATCTATTCATTTTTTGAATATTTTTTAAAAAATAAACTCTGTAGACACCCCCTTCCCCCCTTATTTTCATTATAATCATAATATACAACAACGATGCTAACCTATTTTTATTTTACTTATTCAAAATAAAGTTTAAAAATAATTATAACAATTGTTATATTTCTCTATTTCATCTTCACTGAAATTATAATATATATTTTTACCAATTTCCTTATAAGAATTGCAACTTCATCCTTACTGAGATAAAAAAAAATTTAGGAAATATTTTCGTTTATTTTTGTTAATTTAAAAAAAATTATGGGAATAAATTTTACAATTTTTTTCACACTTTTATATATTTTATAATCTATATGAGAATTTATTTCCGGAGAAATTTTTCTTGAGAGTTATTTCCAATATTATACTCCTGGGATTTTTTTCTAGGAGCTTATTTTCCGCTTACCACTAATTATGGAGACTAAGAATTATTAGTTATATTCCAAGTAATATTATGCTCAGCCATACTATTTTATATTATAAATTGGTAATTTAATGGAAAAAAAATGTAAATATTTGAAGAAGAGGTTAAAACAAGTCCGTGTAATTATTTATGACTTTCACCTGTAAATAGAAAGATCAGGTTTTTTTCAAGGTTAGTAGATATTGTGTAGTCTTAGATATAATCTAGGATTAATATTTTAAACTTTTTAATATGATTTAATAATTAATGGTACACTTCAAACGCGTCATCTCGTTATGGGGACGCGATTCTGTGTTCAGTATACCTATAACAAAAATATATATAATTGAATATAATGTTAGGACAAGAGCCGGTTATGTCATTATATATATTTTTTAAAATGTACCCGTTATTTAGAAACGAAATATTTGGTCTTACAAGCGCACTATTAACAACTACTTCCTCGAGGAAGAGTAGCTTAGCCTATGCTAGCTTAGATTCGAATCTTCAATACAGTCCAATCACTCAGTTTTTTAAATATTTTTTTTTGATTGCAATTAATTTCAGTTTGAGATTTTTTTTTTTAAAAGAAAACGATTTTTAGGAACTTGGCTAGTAATCTAGCTAAATTAATTGAGTAGAAAATAGATGGCCATTTTTTCGCTCTTATTTTATAGAAATTATATTTACAAATCGTTCACCGAAAAAAAAATCAATAATTGTAGATTCATCGATAACCTATTACAGTTACTCGTTTGCGAAAATGAAAAATACGGACTCGCTGTTCAAACATACATAAAAGATTTGTTATCAAACGAACTGCACCCAACTTTATACCCTATCCTTTTCGAACAAATCCGGATGAGAATCGATAAATTTTTCTTAAACACAGGAGAGGTCGAATTTTTTTAATTGGCATATTTTATTCTCTTTGGCAGGTTTTATAAAATTTTTTAAAAATTATATCTTGTTAATTAGGAGAATACAAAGCCTTATTAAATGCATATTTTTTTTCTTCTTTAAAATGGAAACACCTATTTGTAGTCAACTCTAGGTGTCCGAACTGAAAATTTTTGTTTATTGTAACAATTTTTATTTTATCATATATTTTGGTTTTAAACATACAAAAACTAGTATGCAATAACTGGTAAGTTTAAATAATTTTTTTTCATAATTATGAATAAGGGCCCCCGAGGCTCACAATGGCAAAATTTTATATATAAATATTATAATATCAGGGTTTACTACAGTGAATCCTCTTATAATCTGTCAGAATTTTTATTTTAAGTACAACATCGTTTAGAAAAATTTTGCCTATTAGTTTGTTAGAAATTTTGCCCATTTTTAAAACAATCTAAAATTAAGAATTCACTTTCTAGAAATTTCAAGGCCTATGTAATATAGATTTATCTTGATTTGCTCATTTTTAAAGCTAAATCTAAGTTTTTCAGCAGCACTACTTTTTATAGCGAAATGCTTTATTATAAAATTTACATTAAATAATAATATAATAATAAAAATATCTTCACTTGCTAATACTTATGTATAGGTTTTAATATGTGAAGCCAATTCACGTTTTATGGAACACGTGTTATTTATGATCAAGCAAGTATTGGAGAAAGAAAATATTAAAATGGACGAGTTTAACATCGAGAATTTGGTTTCAAATATCATAAAGTTTGATTTATATTACAATTCGATTACTATATTAATAAATATTTTTTTAAAAAAATATATTCAGATTTCGATTTAAAAATTCCCTCATTTACTGTTTTAAATTCATTGTTCCATAAAATTTTTTAAATTAATGAGGTTAAGTTTTCGCGTTTTTAATGTTTTCTCGCCTATAAAATATGTATTTTTAAGTCCCTTAAAAAAACTAAACAGCGAAATTTTCTTTTGATACATGAACTATCTAATGTATTGCATCTTGCGGCGTGTATAGTTTAAGCATCATATCTTGGGAGTCCCAGGTAAAGTGTGCGACGCATACCGATCCATCATTTCTGAAATTCATCCCATCCATAAAATAAAATAGAGATTGATGGGTGTTTGTCTCCTTTAATTTCATAATTTACATTTATTGCACGGATAATATTTATGTGTTATATTAAATATTACAAATCTATTTAAATTGTTTTTCACAAATATAACTTTAGATATGTTCGTTATTTGGACATCTCCTCTCCATTGTTATTCTCCATGAAGATTAAAACATGTCAACTTGTCGAAACCGTATTTTAACTTATATTCATACTTTTAAAGCTATTTTATTGTTATGAAAAAAAAACAATATATTTGACACATTCATTTAAGATTGGTTTTTACATTATAAGCCAATTTTTTTAAAGGGATATTCTGACTTTTTAAAAATTACTAACCTTGGCTGATAAATATATTGCTATCGAATTTTAGGTTAAGTGTTAAACGACTGAACCGGCCCTTTACGATTTTTGAATATGGTTTCAGCCCAGTCTGGACCATATTTTTTTTCAGCTCATAATAAAATAATTTTGCAAAATTTGTCTCACCCAATCCTAAAATTGCTTGGAACCTCTAATTTAGATATCCTTAAATTAATTGGATCTATTCTATTTTTATATTATTTTTTAAAAAAATGATAGATGATGAAACGAAGAATGGATTTAACATTTCGTCAAGAAATTAAATTTAGAAACAAATTGGTTGAATACATAGTTGGTTGGATAGTGCCATTTCCCAGATTTGTTGTATCCCCATTTTTGACTCCCTTTCCTAGTTATTCGAATAGTAATACATTATGCAATTATCATAATATGCAACGCTGTAACTCGGAATCGGCAACTAAACCTCAATACAATTATGGATCGATGGCTCCATGTGTGCATCTTATAACCGAAAAGTTTGATAGACTACATATATATAGTAGTCAGAGTTGTTAAAGTAGCACGCTATCTTTTTTGGTAGTGATAGCTAATAGCTCATTACTTTTTTCCCAATTATTTAGTTTTTTAGTGTGCTACTTTTTAAAAATATAATGAATGTAACTATAAAAATGAAAAGCAAATGGATATCCAAATCGATGCAAGTGAGTTAGACAATTATGATATTAATGAAATGGACGGTACTCTGGAGAAAATATTCTTGATAAAAATAATACAAATTTTCCAATTCCAAAATTTGAAAAATATTTTCAAATTTATGTAAAAACAAAAGATGGCTACAAATTTATGTGTTCAAACTGTAAAAAATATATCCTCAAATAAATTTAGTAGTTAAAACCTCATAAACACCTAAAGGTAATTGTCATTTTTAAATTCTAGTAGTATTTTTATTTTGTAAAAATGTTCATGCCAACAGTTTTAAAGAGATTAAAAAAAACATCTTAATAATTTTGGTATAGGGTAGACTACATCCAAAAAGACCAATTAAATCAAGCTAAATTGATTAATAATACTGCACATACCATATTTTTCAGAAATTGGCTGATAAAGTTACTGTCGATTTTATAATTAATACAGTTCAGCCAATATCATTAGTTGATAATCCATCATTTACTATGATGACTAAAAACTATCTCCTGGTACAACAATTTATTGTCGCCAGACACTAATGATTGAGATAGCAGACAAAGATTCCCTAGTAAAAACGACTTCCACTAATAATATTTTTTAAATAAAGTATAAAAATATAAAAGAAATTGCCCTAAACGCGCTTTTTAAATTTAAAATACTCAAATGAGTATTTTTGATAATTTTTCTTATTTAAAAATATTTAAATTAAATATTGCCTTGCCTTCAAGTGCTAGTGCCGAGAGATTATTTAGTAAGGCGCAACTTATATTTTCTGATCATCGCTAGATTTGGGGAGGATAGTATAGAAATCATTTTATTATTAAAATGCAACCAAATAAATAAAAAGAATATTACTATAGTTACTTTAATTACATAAATTATAATCTTTTTACATATTTTTTTTTATAATCAAAGCTAACTATATTTAAATATTTATAAATGTTGATTTTTATATATTATATATTATGCAATTACATTATAAACAAAAAATAAAACAAATTTTTTTTATAAAAAGTAGCCAAAGCTACTCTTAAAAGATAGCTATTAGCGCGCTACTTTTTTTGATGGTAACATGCTACTTTTAAAAGTAGAGCTTAACAACTCTGATCGTAGTTGCCTAGTTAAGAGGGTCAATTTTTAAAAAATATATTCTTTTTCATGCAATATAAACCATTGTTACTATGTTTATTCTGGTATATTTTACGATAGGTTCACATGATATATTGCTAATTCATTTTATCTTATTATCTGCCTACATTTGAATGATAATTTTTTTTTCTCTAAATTTATTAATTATATAGTGATCTATGTCCGCCACGTGACTGCACTAACACATCAAATTTTACAAAATTTCAAAACCACAATACTTTGTCATCACAACCTTTTGCCGCAAGAGAGCGATGTATTTGTCCGAATAAAAGCATGCTTAAATATTCCGGGCTCTGTCATTCATCGCCTTATTTATTACTAAATAACGAAGACAAAGGAGCCAAAATTGACTTTATTAGTAAATACGATAAATGTTATATTTATTATATAAACGCGAGTTAATTAAATTTTTATCATAAAATGTCCGAATCAGAAATTTATCTTTTAAAAATTAGATATGGGGCCAGACATGGGCATTGGAACGTTTGATCATTAATTTAAATTCACCTATACTAATTATATATTCATATAAAAATGTTAAAAAATACATTCAGGAATAAAATAAAAAAACGCTTCATAAATTACTTCCATTTTCATTTAATATTCATTACCATTTGAAAATATTTATGCATCCTACTTTCGTTTATTTATTCTATTAGGCTTTTGAATTTACGAGATTTCTGCATTATTTCCGTATAATAGATTTCCATATATTATAAAAAAAAATTTAGATTCCTTCTAATATTAGGGCTGATTTTAAATTGTTTTTTTCATAATTCATAGAGTTTTAATTAGATTTAAATCAGGGGTCGACGCGGCAATCCAAAATAGTAATCCTTCTATCAGATAACCATTTTGGTATGACATGGTGTCCCCTCTTATTGAAAATTAGCGCTATCAGGAAATAAATTGAATGAAGATAGTAATTTACCATTTTAAAGCTTTTATTATGCCTTTTAGAAAGGTCAAACTTTCAGCACCTTTGGATTTCCTTAATTCTCATATCGTAGTGCTCTTGATATAATGGCTAGTGATAAATAATCAGTATTGAACGCCTATTTCTTTTTGAACGATCCCTAATATTACTATTGGAGAACTGGACCAATTACTGTATTTAAGAGTCTCTTGTAATATTTATTTGACATAGCCTAGGTTAAAGAATAGGTTAAAGGTAATAATGAAAAATAAATAAAAAAACTGTATCCCATTTTATGAATTCCTCTTTGACATGTTGTTACAAACCTGTTTTCCCTCTAATAGAATTCCATTCTACATCTAATCCAGAGTGCTTGCATGACCGTTTAAGTATGATTTATTTAAAGATACAAGGATCATCTTTAGGCTATATTTTATATAACCTTACTTTAGAATTGCTAGTTAACAAGAATCTTGGCCTAGAAGACCTATTATTGATATCCTGAATAGTGACTCTGCTAAATTTATGCTCAGGAAGAAATTTTAATTGGGAATCTGCTTAGAAGATGCAATGATTAAATTACATATCTTTTATCTAATGATTTTCTACTCGTATTAAAAACAAAAAAAATAATAAATTAAAAATTTATTTAAGATTTTACCCTTTTATGATAGAATTAAGGATTATTTAGACGTTTGATGCGCTTCTATTTTTTAAATGTTTTTCATCATTATGTGTATAAATTGAATAAATTATATATATGGTGAATTCCATATCAAATCAACCAAGGTTTCAACCCGACCCCCTTCAATTTTTCTTAAAATTTGTATACTGGTAGTATATACTTAACTAAGAAAAAAATGAAATTTTACCTTCCAACACTGTTTACCCGCTAAGATATGGCCGTTTAAAGCACGGAAAAATGGTATATTTTTGATAAAATGCACCTCATTTATTTTCAAATATCTCGAGAAATAATTTTGTTAGAAAAATAATTTAAATTTTATTTTGTAGTTAATAAATGTTCTTTAAAATGACATAAAAATAAATATGATGGACATTTTATTAATATCGAAAACCGGATGTGTAAAACCGGAAATGGCCATAGAAAAAAAGGTATTTTTTCAAAATTTTTTTTCTGTAGATAGATATCACACTGCTTTATAGTGCGCACAAATTGAGCAGTAGCGTTTTGCCGTACTTTTTTAATAAAAAAAACATAACGCTTGCTGTGTTTAAATTGAAGCGGCGTTTTTAAATTATTTTTATTTTGTAAAAAAAATGGAGTTAATAACTTTGGATAATGAAAAGTTAATGGCGTTATATATATTATTACAACATAAAAATAAGAGGAAGTTCAGAGGAAAAACTTCAGAAATATTTATTAAAAGAAATTTATTCTCTGAGTATGTTACACTGAAAGGTGATTTAACAACATCTCAGTTCATTAATTATACGAGAATGAAAAGGTCTACCTTTTCAGTCATTCTAAATATGATTCATGATGATATCAATCCCAAATTTGCTAATTTCAATAAACAAGTGGATGCAGAGGACAGGCTATTTTTGACATTAAGGTAATGAAAATATTTTAATTATCCTATATTTATTCATAAAAGATATTTAATAACTGGGATGTCCTTCTCCCAATTATCTTATAGCTCAAGGATATCCAAATCCTGTGTTGCATACATTGTTAAATCAGTATGCAGGGCAATTTGGAATGCTGGCAAAGATATTTATATGCCAAAGCCTACAAGAAAAGATTGGGAAAGAGTACATTAAATTTATATATTCCAACAATTTAATATATAATTATTTAGATTTCCCAGGAGTTCTTACTTCATTCAGGGTTCCCCAATTGTTTTTAGCCTTGGATGGGAAACATATTTATATCAAATGTCCACCAAATAGTGGTTCTCAATTCTATTGTTATAAACACAGATTTACTGTAGTTTTGTTAGCCCTTACTGATATATATAGAAAATTTCTGTATATTGATGTAGGGGCTTATGGAAAGCAAAGTGATGGAGGAGTATTTAAAAATAGCTCCTTGTATAGAGGTTAGAATATAATAATTTTTAACTGATATTAAATCATACATATAATAATAATGTAGAAATTATAAACAATACTCTGGATCTCCCACCTGATAAAGCATTTCCAGGCCAAAATGAAAATATGCCATATGTAATGGTGGCTGATGATGCATTTCAACTGTCATCTTATTTGATGAAACCTTATCCAAAAAATGGTCTATCTCTAGAGGAAAGAGAATATAATATGAGACTCTCCCATGCACGTATCAGTGTGGAGAGGAGCTTTAGAGGGATTGTAAAGAAGTTCGAAATACTTAGTAGACCAATTGAAATTAGTGTCAATAGCATTGAAATTATTATCAAAACTATATGCTTGTTGCATAATATAATAATTAGTAATGAAGGAATAGCTGGAGATGTTGATGATACAAGTATATTAAATATTTTAGTAACTTATATTTTCTTGATATATAAAAGATACAATGCCCAACCTGACCACAAGACCATTCCCAATAGCTACATCAATATACAGAAATTTTCTATATATATATCAGTAAGGGCTAACAAAACTACAGTAAATCTGTGTTTATAACAATAGAATTGAGAACCACTATTTGGTGGACATTTGATATAAATATGTTTCCCATCCAAGGCTCCAAAACAATTGGGGAACCCTGAATGAAGTAAAAACTCCTGGGAAATCTAAATAATTATATATTAAATTGTTGGAATATATAAATTTAAAGTACTCTTTCCCAATCTTTTCTTGTAGGCTTTGGCATATAAATATCTTTGCTAGCATTCCAAATTGCCCTGCATACTGATTTAACAATGTATGCAACACAGGATTTGGATATCATTGAGCTATAAGACAATTGGGAGAAGGACATCCCAGTTATTAAATATCTTTTATGAATAAATATAGGATAATTAAAATATTTTCATTACCTTAATGTCAAAAATAGCCTGTCCTCTGCATCCACTTGTTTATTGAAATTAGTTAATTTGGGATTGATATCATCATGAATCATATTTAGAATGACTCAAAAGGTAGACCTTTTCATTCTCGTATAATTAAAGAACTGAGATGTTGTTAAATCACCTTTCAGTGTAACATACTCAGAGAATAAATTTCTTTTAATAAATATTTCTGAAGTTTTTCCTCTGAACTTCCTCTTATTTTTATGTTGTATAATATATATAACGCCATTAACTTTTCATTATCCAAAGTTATTAACTCCATTTTTTTTTTACAAAATAAAAATAATTTAAAAACGCCGCTTCAATTTAAACACAGCAAGCGTTATGTTTTTTTTATTAAAAAAGTACGGCAAAACGCTACTGCTTAATTTGTGCGCACTATTATATTTGTACAAAATCCTAGACTGGGATGAACATGGGTTTAGGAGTTATCACTCTTTATATGGCTAAGATTGAATAAATTTAACATTAATATCATATTTTAATTTAATGAATAGTTATGAAATAATGTTAATTTAAAAATTATGTATAAATGACAGGCCCTTACTTTTTTTTATCTTTATCAAAATTTTTGAGAAGTGGCTGGAATAATGTGCTTTGTTTAACCCTTTAGTTAAATTTTGTCTCGAAGTTACTTGACAAAATAATTCTAAATATATTTAAACTTTATTTGCCTCAAATTGCATTACATATAATACAATCAAAAATTTATAATTAAAATATATCATATATTATAATCATCCAAGGAATTTTAATAAATTATGACTTTTGTTTTTAGGAGAATAAAAGCTTGGAACTTTGTGTTCCAGAAATTCTCTTTGCTCTCAAAAATCTGCTTTCAAGATGACTTTCTATGTTCATATATTCATTATTGCTCACAAATATATAATTTATCCCATAGATATTATTCCTTGCATAGTTAAATAAATCTATTGTTGTCAATATGTGATGTTCATATGGACGTTGCAAGCTTGCTCGAGCTGCTAACCGTTTAGTAACGGCCCCCAAAATGTCGCATGGACTTTTACCTTATGCGGTTTCAAAAAATGTCACTCAGCCTTTATCCCAAAATCATTTTCATGATTGTAGAGATTAATGAAATCTTTTATTTTTATATTGGTTACTGCTCCATCAGAAAAATAATAAATTTTAGCCACTCTATTAAATCTTTCATTCAAGAATACTATCAATTTTTAAAATAAATAAAATGCACATGCGTTGTGCTTTAAACAATCTGATATAACCACTAATTTTCATGTTTTGTTATGTTGTTCTCACGGTAATAAATTATAAAAGAGTTGATAGTGGCTTGATTATTGGTCTGATTAAATCCTTGTGCATGGTTCTGCACTAAAAATGCATGTTTTCTGAAAAGTCTGCAATAATTAAGAATTTGCCAACATTTAAATTGAATTTTAAAAAGTTTCGAATTAATGATTATCGTGAAGCTATAAACAAATGAGGAATTAAATTGTTTAATTATTTAATTAAATAATCTACAAATTCGTCAGCGGATTTTATCAGTGTTTCGAGGGTAGTTTGATCAACTGCTATCCATTGTTTGAATGTTTTATAATCTATAGAATTCTCGTCAAATAATATATTAAGCCTTTCTTTTAATTTTGAATATATGGGGGAAAATTTTTTGTTGAATTTCAATTTTGGTAGATTATTTTATGCTAAATAAAATATTTAAAATTATTTTGTCAAGTAATTTTAATTTCGAGATAAAATTTAACTAAAGTTTTAAACAGCTCATTATCCCAGCAACCTCTCAAATTTTTTTTATAAAGATAAAAAAAAGTAAGGGCCTATCATTTAGACATAAATTTTAAAATAACATTATTTCATAACTATTCATTAAAATAAAATATGATGATATTAATGTTAAATTTGTTCAATTTTAGCCATATAAAGAGTGATAACTCCTAAACCCATGTTCATCACAATCTAGGATTTTGTACAAATATAAAGCAATGTGATATCTATCTACAGAAAAAAAATTTTGAAAAAAAATACCTTTTTTTTCTATGGCCATTTCCGGTTTTACACATCCGGTTTTCAATATTAATAAAATGTCCATCATATTTATTTTTATGTCATTTTAAAGAACTTTTATAAAGCTACAAAATAAAATTTAAATTATTTTTCTAACATAATTATTTCTCGAGATATTTGAAAATAAATGAGGTGCATTTTATCAAAAATGTACCATTTTTCCGCGCTTTAAACGGCCATATCTTAGCGGGTAAACAGTGTTGGAATTACATTTTTTTCTTAGTTATAGTATATACTACCAGTATACAAAATTTAAGAAAAATTGAAGGGGGTCGGGTTGAAAATCGACTTGTTTTTGTTGATTTGATATGGAATTCACCATATACTATATTAAAAAATAAAACATTGCGAATGGATGAATATATTGAAAGGTAGTATCGAATTCATTATTAAAACCTTAAGTTATTTCATTACAAAATTACAATCACGAACTACTCATTTTACCCTCTTTAGGCAACAAATATAACTGCTACAAGTGTTACCACGAAAATAGGCAATCTTCTGACTTAATGACAAATAATTGCAACGAATGTAATCTTTATTACAACTTCTCAGATGAAATGCCAACTTCTCATTCTAGCGAACGCAGATCTTCGTTAATTCCCGACAAATGTTATCACTGTTACCCATTCGGTATTGACGGTCGTAAATATAAAGGTGAAATCGGCGAGAATTATTTTAATTACGTAAAAAATAGAGAATTAGATTCGGCATGCTTGAACGCCTTGGCACTTTTGCTGGATGGCCTGCCCCTGCAGCCTCAAGAGATGGATCGAGGCAACGTGATGGAAGCTAAAAGCCTTTTATTTCAAAAGTAACTGTCAATAATTTTCTCTATTTTTGACTTATGTTTAGCACATTCTATACTTGATAGTTTTTTTGTAAAAAAAAGTACGTTAAAAGGGCTTCTGTCCCTTCAAATTTCATTTGCTATAACTGAATTTTGTTTTTGCTATATTTTCATAATGAGGGGGTAAGATGAGATTAAAATTATTCATGTTATTCAGTTTGTAATCTGTACTAAGAAAGATTCCGATTATGCATTTTTTAGAGAAAGTGGCTCGGGATCCTAAATTTTGAAAAGTAAAGCGAGTTCCATCCTAACTCTGTTAAAGCAATCAAAAAAAATTCTAAAATGAATCCACACACCATTTTAAGCAATATATATAAATTACCTCTACATATAGTAGACGGTTCTTAATGTTAAAATGACTTCCGGTTCCTAGATTTTTCTAGTTTCCAAATTTTGTTTTAATTTTTTCTGTATTTACAAATTTTATGTCTTTCTATATTTGCAGATATCTCACCGTTTTCCTGAATCTCGTAAATGGCCATTCAATATCTTCATCCTCTCTCGCATGCCCTGATCTGCTAAACTCATCAGAGCACCCTTCATCCTGTGTTCCCTTTATTCCTCTTTCTTCCACCTCGACCAAATCCTTTTCTCACTTTTACGATCTTACGATACTAACAGCTTCGCGTATGCTTAACGCCAATTTGGACATAGGCCTGACCCACTGTGTATCTCACGCTTACTTACCCATTAATCCTCCTTCTTCCCTTCCTATACTAAGCCTTCCTTCGGCCTTCCTATCAACTTCGCTTAACTCTGTTTCAATTTAATTTTTTATAATATTTTATTATTAAAATTTTTATAGGTTAAACCAAATCGTAACTAACTATATAAGATTTTTTTTAAATTAACCTATAGCCCAAATTCGGGTTCAGGCTGGATCGGGCCTAATATAAAAAAATCGGGCCAGGTCGGGCTTGAAAAATTAGACCCGATGCAGATAACTAATTTATGTCATTCTTTAATTTAATTAAGAACCCTAAAACCACGAGCTAAAGTTCAGATGATTTTTTAGACCCTAACTTAGTTTTAAACCCAATCTAGCCTAGTCTTCTTAACGTTATTTATTTTTACCGGACTTTTATAAAGTTAAGCTTTTTTATTCTTTTATATAAGATAACCTCATATTCATCGCCATTTTGTCTTTCAAAATGTCAATTTAGCAAACCAGGTTGGAGATAAAAAAAATTTAAGTTCATTTAAAATTGATGATAAAATAAAGATAACTACTTCGGTTTTAAATTAAAATATCATACTCCCATTTTTAGCAGCCATATATTTAATAATCTTCAAAATTAAAAATCCATTTAGACATTCATTTTGGAGATGTTAGCCAACATCCTTCGAGAGGGAGCCCAATTCGACTCTTTATCTGACTCAGCCCATGGCGACCGCTTTGGGCGTTTAACCGACCTGGTCACAATGATAACGGACTCGGGAGAGCTGCCAATCGCTTCAGCTCTGGCTTATGCTTGCTCCCAGCATCCGCTTCACGCTGACGCTCTTGCTCGCACTTTAGTACGCGTATTTGAGGAAAAGCACCTATCTTATCAACTGTACTGGAACGCCTTTTCTCGCCAGACTTCCAGCCCTTCTTATAAACGTAAAGGAGGTAGTCCAGGAGATATCAACATAAACGGTAACCCAGGACAAAATTTTTTGTGTCCTAATTTATAAAATAAAGCTTGTTTAATATTCAACATTTCTTTTTTACAAAAAATCACATATTATCTAAGTTTAATTAGAATGTGGGATAAGACTTTAAAAGAATAACGGCCTAGGTTCATATTAAATTAATTGTGTATCTTTTATTTTTTAAAAAAATTGCTTTTAGTTTGATACCTATAATTTTAGCAAAAAATAACATGAAGACACTATTTATATGCTAATATTTTTTTTTCCCTACTAAATATTAAAAATATACAACAAGCAACTATAAGCAGTGTGAGAGGATTAGGCAATAATGATCCCTGCTTTTGGCGTGGGAACGACTTCGTCAACAAACTAATGAGCGCTTGTTTTAGGACGTTTGGGGCCACCTATCTGAAATTAGTTCTCAGTGCCCCTTTGCGCCAACTCTATGACACTTTTTCCTCCGACCCAACCTATTCTCTTGAGGTGGATCCTGAAAGGTTGATTTCCAAAACTCCCTTTCACGCATCTGGCATTCGAGAAGACATAAAAGCGACTGTTGCCGTTAATGCATCTCGCCTACAAAATCATTGTGACCTTGTACTTTCAGCAGTGACTAACTCGGGCTCACTCTTTCCTCCCCAACTGCGCACTATGTGCCATTGCCTTCAACTGGCTGTCAGGCACGACCATTATGATGACGATGATAATAGTGCTAACACTACTCTACCATCACGGGGTTTGGCCGGAAGTCTGGTAATTTTGCGTTTCATAAATCCTGCTATATTAGTGCCCCAGGAATACGATTTATTAGAAAACGGCAATCAATCACTTGATCCCCGCTTTAAAAGAGGACTCACCCTGATCGGCAAAGTGCTGCAGAAGATCACAAACGGTACCCTATTTAAAGAATCCTACATGAAACCCTTCAACCCTTATCTGCGGACCAATATTAACTGTTGCGATAGTTTTTTTAATGACATTTCCAGTGAACTCTCTTCTTCTACCAATAATAATAATAATTGTCACGAGATGTTTAATAATAAACCTACAGAGCAACTTGAAGATTACGATCGATGCCAGTCTTATATCGACGATAACACCTTAAGCACCTTGCACAAACTATTATGGACCTACCAAGAAAAAATTGGCGAGTACCTAATGACGAGTTATGATCATAAAACTACGGGTCGTCGTCCTTTTGATAAACTCACTACCCTGCTGGGATACCTCGGTCCTCCTAACCAAGGCCCTGCTACTACAAATTGGGTAGCCTCTGAAATGAACACCACAAGGTTTGAGGAAATGATGACGAAACATAACGTGCAGGATAAGGATGATTTTAAAAACATTAAATCTCTCAATATATTTTATCAATCAGGTGTATCCAAGGAGGACCACCCTGTTTTTTATTATATCGCAAGAAGGTATCAAGTTACAGAGATGAATGGAGATCTTCTATTGTATCACATAATACTAACTCTTAAACCATACTCCAATAAACCATTCGATATCGTACTTGATTTGACAAACGTCAAAAACGAAAATCGTTTCAAAACAGATTTCCTACCAAAATGGTTTCTTCTCCTTCCTGATCAAATATTTGCCAGCTTATCCCATTGTTATGTTTACAATTGTAACTCGTGGGTTCGGGAGTTCACAAAATTTCACGATAGAATACTATCACCACTTAAGAACAATCAAAAGCTTTTGTTCATCGAATCTCTTTCGAGGCTGGGCCATTACATTGATCCGTGCCAGCAAAAACTTCCTAGCACTACATTGTCCTTGGATGATGATCTAAAGATATATGGAAACGCCCTTAAACTCGCTCACAAAGGGACACGTGTTACTATAAAGATAGGTCCCGAGGCTATTCAAGTGAATTCACTGGACCGAACCAAAATTTTGGGATATGTCACCCATCTTAACGACGTGTATTACGCATCGGAGATCGAGGAAGTTGGCTTACTCGATGATGACACCTTCACATTTACGGTCGCCAACCAAGATGGACGCCCACTTTCTTTCATTCACCCTGAGTGTGAGGCCATAGCAGCCTTACTTGTGCACATGCGTGCAAATTGGGAAGTTCAACAGCAACACCACCCAGTCGATTCTCATTTGTTTCTCTCGGAGCCCCATTCCCGTTTTCGGATGAGGGCCAAAGACGTCCCCGGAACTCTCCTCAATATGGCCTTGTCCCATTTAAGCACGCCATCACTCCCCATGCTTCGCAGTGCTGCATATAATCTTCTTTGTGCACTATCTTCCGCATTCAATCTGGGTCTTGAAGACGAACTTCTTTGGGCTGATGGCCTTTCCATTCCACCATCCAACTGTGAAGATTTACCTTTTGTTCAAAGAATAAGCTCTCGCTTGGCTCGCGCTCATCCCCACTTAACGCTCGACTTCATGGAAGAAAGCGTATCACGATGCACGTCATCATCTCATGTGAAAGCTCGTTTGCAATATACCATTCCTTGGATAGATAACTTACCCAGGTTTATTAAAAACGGGGGGAGCTCTTGCAACGACACCAAACGGAAACGTTTAGTCAGTATCATTAACAAACTATTGGCACTGTCAGTGCAAGAGGGAAATCTAACTGCAACATGCTGGGCTAGAATCGGGCAGATGAACGGCGACATTCTTGATCTCACCCTGGACTGTTTCATTGAATCGAGTTTGTCTGTAGGACTTGGGAGTCGTCATGGAGAGATTTTGTTGGATACGATCGTTTCCCTAGCGTCCCTAAATGGGCGTGCTGTTTCCCGCAAAATAATTTTCAGGCTGTTTAGAATTCTAGACGCTACCGCTTCTAATTCCACTCCTTCATTGGCTCATCACAAATCCTGGACCGAAATTACAATTCTAACTCGCTATTTGCTAGCGCTCTCCTTTGACGACCTAGTAGATGTTAGTTCTCATTTACCCTATCTGTGCTACATAGTCGTTATGTTAGCTGGAATCGGCTGCCAATCCTTTAGAGCCTGCTTACACGGGCTCACTATAAACGTGATGCATTCCTTATGTACTAGTAGCAAAGTGGTTTTGAACGAAGATAGCAAAAAACTTTTGAGGTTAAGTTTGACTGAGTTGTTTACTTTGACAAAATTTCGTTCTATTTTCGGTGTAGAGGATTGTAAATCGATTCCACTTATGGCCTTTACCCCTATACCATTTCCATGTAATTATCTAAAGCATACGAATGATAAAGGAGAATTGCCGTTACTCTTTGTCTCCCCTAATGACAACCGACACGAAACCAATACTCAGCAAAGAGACATGTACGATAATCTTTTTACTTCGAATGATATCACGCCCGGACCATCATTATACTATTTGGAATTTTTGATTGACGCGTTCCTTGAAATCATCGAAACTTGCTACAAAACTATTCCGGATTGCGATTGGCTGCAAATTTGGACGGATTTAAATAAAACGTTTACTTTTAGGTATAATTCATTAGGGCTTCAAAAAAAATAATTTAATATTCGTATGAAAAATAGTAATTCTCCAATAACCTTTTTGAAAAAAAATAAATTGATATTATTTATACATTAAAGTGATTGCAGGATATTTATTAATATTTATAATTTGGAGGATAGTAATAAACATTAATGTACAGAATAAATAATATTATTATTAAGGGATACATTTTTTAGGCATATCGTTTTTATGATTATCCGAGAAATAAATTTAAAATAAATAATTCCTATCACTTCCTATTCTTTTTATAACGGTGGGTCAGCTGTCCATATGATCCCCTTTCCGTGGTTGGCATAACAATTTGTAATACTATGGTAGAGTATGCTCTACCATTTTTATGTTGTTTTAGATTTTCCTCGTTCTCATCATATCGCTCTTCACCTAATCGTCGTTTTCTTTCGCTTAACATATTCTAACCACAGTATTTCTTCTCATTCGCTTCTATCCCAATCTTTTTTCATAATTTTTTTTAGTTTCTGTCTCCAATATATATAGATCTAACCATTTTCGTCTCTATTCTTTTCATATTTTGCCATTATTATGGATTTTTTATTTATTGTATTTAACCTTATTTGATTTATATTAGTGAATTAAAAATTTCGGGCCTGGCTCTGGCTGGAAAAAGAATTTGCAGGGCACTTAATTATTAAAAATTTACAGGCGTTTCGAATTGGTTATTTATTAATATTCGTACATTTCTTTAATAATTTTTAAATAGATCTAATCCATCGCTTCAACCTCGCGCTATGATCGTTTACGGGTGCAGTAATAAATCCTTAAACGAACAAGACATTAAACACTTATTGTGCATCCTCTCTAAAGCGTTAGAGTCCTTCGATAAAAATCAAATTTTGATTGAAAGTATTATTTTAAGTTTGACCAGACTCGAACCAATAGTTCCGAAGAACTCTCTTATACACCCGTCTCTATTTTGGGTGGCAATCGCTGTTCTGCAATTTGAAGATATTAAATTTTACGAGTGCGCTTTGGCTTTATTAGAGCAAGTTCTTCATTCTTTGCACGGCTACGGAATTTTTTACGAAAACTCCCTAGAACATGTCATGATGTCCTTTCGAAAACCTTTAGATTGGCATTTCAAACAAATTGATCATTGCGTCGGCCTTAGTTTTAAGCACAATTTTAATTTTGCATTAGTTGGGCATCTAATAAAAGGCTACCGCCATCCTAATACGAGCGTCGTTTCTAGAACTATTCGCATTTTTAATCATCTTTTGATGATAACATCGCTCGATAATTCTAATGATCAACCAAAAATTTCTCTTCATAACTTGCCTTACATCACTGCGCTGCTTCCTGTGACCGAAGAGATCAAACTTAGATATCCTATAAAAAAATGTAAGAGTCCTTCTCATAAGTCCGATTCTTGCGCTTGCCCAATTTCGAAGAAAAACATTTTCAACTCCCAGATCGAGATTTGTGCTCTAAATCATTCCTCGTTGCTTGACGATGAAAAGAACAGATCCGATCCTTTCAACCATCTCAGCTTAACCAAGACGAATCGTAATAGCGATCCTACTATTTCCAAGAAAAATGTCACGTTTGAGGACAATCTTGGCATAGAAAATCAGTTGACGCCTAGGTGTTTCGTAAACAAGGACGAGTCGATGTTCTTTGCTTCCAAGACTAGGAGATCTAGCTCAATGCCAACCCCAACCTGTCAATCTCCTGACCTCCAGTCAGATTTTTCGAACTTAGTATTACAAAGCCGTTTCGATAATTCTCTCAACTCTGTTTCCTTGGGATCATTGAATACCATACATAAAGTTGAACCATCGACCGATGATTACTCGCTACTAACATCCGCCTCTTCGTCACCCTACTTACGCGAAACGGGTCTCTCTTTTAGGGACTTCTTCTTTTCTACCGTCCTTACCCCTAAATCTCACCACACTTCTCTATGTTCACACGAAAACATTTTTCAATTGCTGAGGAATAATCCCGATGTTCAAGCCTTATTGATGGTTCTTCTAGCCACACTCTTAAGACTGGACGAATATTACAATTTACCTCTCGCCTCGCATAACGCAGTCAACGGTTCCTCGAAAAAACTAGTGATATACCAGTATCTCGCCAAGGCGTCCGAGATTTTTCCTTTAGTATTTCCCGTGGTATATAACCTGATAGACGGGCGTCAGCTAATGAACAGCTTGCTACAAGTTTCCAATTTTAACTCATCCACTTTGGCCCATCCCTTGAAATCTTTTGAAACAATAATAAATAACTCGATTACATTTGCTCACCGCTCATCGCTAACAACGAATGCACTAAAGTTCAAAGGCTCGAATATCTATTTACCCGACATAACCCCTGTATTCCCAACTCCTTCCCCTGAAGTTAATGATGCTGTTCAGGAACCTCCTAGTTTGAACGCTGGTCCTTATGAAGAATCTCATCAGCATCAAGTTTATCAGCTATCCTATTTGCAAAGTATTAGAATATATACTTTTTTAAAAATAAATACATTTTTATTATTGTCTCTGAAAGAATTAAGAAGAACAATGAAAAAAAAAGATACGAAATTATCATTTTAACCGCAGTTTAAGATTTGTTCAAATTAAAAGTCTTCTTCAGCCCATGATATTTTTGTGCCTTATTTCTGTTCCAGACTAAAAAGGATTTGAACTAGCACCGCATTTTGGTTTGTTTAGGTGTATATATTAAATTAAATATTTTATATAAATTCTAACACAGGAGACTGCCTCAAATATTTTTTTTATTACATAGAAATTTAATTTCAACATTTTATGAATAAGAAAGAAGAAAAGGAAGAAAGAATTCTAAATATCTTAAATTAAAAGATTCAACTGATTATTTTTTAAATATTTTTTAGCGATTGGATTTGGAGGATTTTGGACTTTTGCGGGATCGTTTAATCAAGTAATAATAATGTCTATCCTCCTTTATTTATATATATATATACCTTTCAATGATTATTTTTTATCTAGAATATTGTAAGCTCAAACAATTTGGAATTGTTTATAAGTTGCCTCGAAGCTATGATGACGTGCTTACCTCCATCAGACGATGATAGCAATTTCAAATGTCAAGCTTCAGAAAATGACTTCGAGAATTTGCCAAATGCTTTTCAATTGAAGGACGGTTATTTTCAAGCAGGCCGAAGGGTTAGAAGTTTAACGAATCCCGATAGCACTTCCATTGATATGTGTCTGAGTTTACAGGAAGGCTCTTTATCCGAATTAAATCTGCAAAACGTGAACAAAATATCTTTTGAATTAAAACTAAAAGAAAACGCGTAGGATCAGCTACGTTTTTATACAAACTTATTCGTTTTTTTAAAGATATCATCAAACAATTATTTTAATAGTTTATAATTAATATTATATAAATATTACACTCATAATATCGCTGCAGTACTAGTATGCCTAAATAATTAATGTCCCAAACCTTAAATATTTATTCCTTTATATTTATTTATTTTATCTGATTTTTTTTAAAAATATATTTAATAAAATTTATTATAGAAAAGTTAAAAGTTATTATTATATAAAAGCATAAAAATATAATATATGGGATCTCACATTTATAAACAATTTGATATGATATTATTTTTTTTATTATACACATACTATTTTTTTATTATATTTATTTTTAAAAAAAAATATGTTGTAATAGTGCTTTAATGAATTAAATACTGATTAAAATGTCAAATAATAATAGAACTACTTTTTTAAATTGGTGGGGCGCTGCGCTTATCAATATTTAACACAGTCCCTAAGTAAATCTCAAGACCCTTTAAAAAACAGTCATTAGGAAAAAATGTAAAAAATCAGAAGAGGTATACTTATCTTGGGGTGGGACGCTGTCTCCACTCTTAGACTAAAGGGTGCGGGATATATCCTAATATTAGTGTATGGGTAGGGGTACAATACAATTACTTCATTGAAATTTCTAAGGATATTCTCAGATTTTATAGTTTTGCCATCGGGGAAAGGTGTGACTACCTGTGTATGGGGGAGGGGATAGATTTAGAATAAGTGTAATTTCTTCACACTTGATTTAAAATTTCCCACTTCAAGTCAAATTAAGTTTATGAGAATGAATGACCAATCGAAAAAATTCCTTGAGACTTATATGCCAATATTCTTAACTCAAATATAAAATTCCATATATAAATTTTTAAATAGATGTCATTTTATAAAAAAAGGAAATCTTAAACTTAAATCAAACATTATTTTGGGGGAGAATAAAATAGCACCCCTTTGCTCTTTAAAATATGACCACGTGTCATCTGCATAGTATTTAAGCTGCATTCGTAGTAGGATCCGATAACCTGGCACGATTTAACTGCTGATCGATTTTAAAGATCTTTTTATGATATCAATTTTTCTATATTGAATATTGTAAAACTCCATTCATTGATAATAATCTAATAATGATTGATTTTAATATATAAAATTTTATAATCAGAAAATCATGCTTGATCAGATCCCACTATGAATGCAGCCAGGGGCGGACTGACGACTCTATGGCCTCATGGGCATTATTTTATAGCGGCCTCGGGGCTTCGCCCCCATACCTTTATTTTGCAGGCCTTCTGCCCGGCCTTCGACCGGTTTCCTTAAATGGCTTCTTCGATTTACATGATTTTTGAAAATAAGTTCAAACAATTTACATTTTTAGTAAAAAAGAAAAGAATAGTGTACGATAATCATATATATAATAATATTCATTGCACATGTATATTTTATATTAGATTTACAACGATATTGCACTATAAAATCAAATCATACATGTGTTAAATATAAAAAAATACATACTCAATATATCAAATCAATTAATTACACATAAAATTATTGCAATAAAATTGCTGCATTTATAAAATCAGGCACCGATCATATTGTAAATAGATATTAATAATATTCGAATAAAAGAATAAGAAAATATATAATTTTTACGTTAATAAATCTCTCATTAACTTTGAACCTTTGCGCAAATATACAAGAATATCTTCTAGTTCAATCTGCGTTAATAGTTCTCGTTCAACTGACATTAAAAACGCTTCTAATTTTTCTTGGTCAATATTAGCTCTCAGCCTATTTTTATAAAATATACTAAATGTTTTCTCGCAATTAACTTGAGTAAATGACAAAGTTAAAATATACAAAAATAAATTAGTGTCACTTGTATGCATATTGTATCTTTTAAGAATTTCATACATATTAAACACTTGTTACATTTATTATCACACTCTGAATTATTATCATATTGTAATATTCCATCTTCTTCATTTGACTCCTCACTTTTACATACGATATCATCGTCCGTTTCATTTAATTCTGCTGCCAAATCTTTGAATACGCAAATGAACATAATTCGTTACGTAATTTAACACTCAATATATATGCCAATTGTGCCAGTTTTGTCAATACCTTTTCAGAAATACCTTTACTATTTATTTCATCAAAATTTCTTGGATGTAATTACAGAAAGCAGTTCCGACAAGCTGTTTATAATTTGATTAATTATAGGACGAAATATTTCGAATCTATAAGGTCAATCTTGAGGACATTCTATTTTTTGGCGGAGCATTCTGTACCCTGATACTCTCCGGGAGCTTTATGAAGTGTTTCATTTAGAAGCCATTTTATTGCTTTATTTTGAATCGATGATACAGAAGACTTAGCATCTTCTATCCTTTTCCATGCCGACAAAGTACCTAAATTTTTAGTTTGAAGATATGAAAATTGTAATAAATTAATAAATGATTATTTATGTATATTGTATATTAAAACAGAATCGAACATTCGAAAAATAATAAATAAAAATTTGATATCAAAAATAAATTGAAATATAAATCAGTGGTCGTATTGTTTATAATTAGTAGTTGGTATTACTACAAATGGCGACGATAAATGGAGAAAATAATTCCTTAAATGGAGATAATAATTCCTTAAATGGAGAAAATAATTCCTTAAATGGATATTCAAAAAAAATAGCGGATTTATCTACGATTAAATTTGATAAATTCGAGTTGGATATTTCTATCCACAGATATTTTTCTCAATGGGAAGCCAGTTTTCGGTTAAAAAACGTAAGCCCATCTGAATGTCAATATAAAGATATATTTTTAACATTTTTTGGCAATAAGAATATTGAGTTGGTGGACCGTTTTTGTTATCCTGATTCGATCGAAACTTTATCTTTTAAGGAAATTAAGTCAATATGTTTTAAACTATTTAAACCGACGTCAACAGCTTTTGCTTCTAGATTTGATTTCGTTAGATTACGGAGAACAACTGAAACCATAACTGAATTTGCAGATAAAATTAGAACAATTGGCAAGCGTTGTCATTATCTTAATGATATTGACGAGCGTTTACGTGATCAGTTTATGGTTGGCATGGAAATACCGGGATTGGAAAGAGATCTTAGAGCTCTATATCCCGACGGTCTTGATAGAGATAATAATGTACTGACTTTTCAATTTATTCTTGATCTGGCATTAGCTTCTGAGCGAGCAGATAAAGAAATGGCAAATAAAAATATGCCAGTTGTTAATAAGATAAATGTTAATAACAAAAGAAATGATAATGATAATTATAAACATCCAATAAAAACGACGACTACAATTGATAAAGGCTATAATAAAGTCAAGTATAATAATACATTTGATAAAGAGAATAATAACTACAAATATAATAATGATAAAGATTATAATAAACTTAAATGTTATAAATGTGGTTTTATTCATAACCGAGAAGTGAGATGTCCAGCTACAAATGCGGCATGTAATAAATGTAAAAAAATTGGTCATTTTGCAGTTTGCTGTAAATCAAAGAATTTAAATTATATAAGAGTGTCATCAAGTGATTCTATTCATAATATTTGGAAGATTCAACAAAATCGAGAGAATCGAGCAAAACTAACTGCAGAGATAAATGGGTTAGATGTTGAATTTGATTTTGACACTGGTGCACAAGCGTCATTGATAGGAATTGATATATGGACAAGTATTGGGCGACCAAAAATTAGGCCAACCAGTCCATTGACTGCATATGGTGATCATCCGTTAGACGTCAAGGGCGAGACCCAAGTCAATGTTAGGATTGGATCACAGACAAGGACTCTACCAGTGGTAATAATGAATACAACTGGGGTGCCTCTTTTCGGATTACCATAAATTATAGCATTCAATTTAGAAATGCCTCGTCAGGTTATGATTAAACAAGTACGCAATTTGGTCAACAATATTGAAAAAGAAAAATGTTGCATAACACTAGATTCTAGAATTCGAGATTTGATTAATAAACATCAAGAAATTTTTGATGATAAGATGGGACATATACGTGATTTTGCAGTGCGAATACATTTAAAGGATACCGCTGTACCAAGATCGTTTCCAGCCCGTAGGGTACCATTTCCACTTCGCAAAGCAATTGAAATGGAATTAGACCGATTAGTAGCTGCAGGAATTATTGAAAAGATTGATTCGACTATAACCAGGGTACAGTGGTCAACGCCAACCGTAAATGTACGCAAGAGTAATGGCGATATTCGAATTTGTGCTGATTTCAAAGTTACACTCAATCCGTGTTTATTATATGACCATCATGTTATTCCTACCTTAGACGATTTATTAGAGAAAATCCAAGGTGGTGATAAATTTACCGTGATAGATCTGAAAGATGCGTATTTACAGATGGAAGTAGAATTGGAATCTCATGAACTACTAACGATAGTGACTCATAAGGGCTATTTCCGTTACCGACGATTGCCATTTGGATTGGCAAGTGCACCAACTATATTTCAAAGATATATGGATGAGTTACTAAAAGATTGCCAAATGACTGGTGTCTATTTAGATGACGTAATTATTTCTGGTCGAAATGATGAGGAGCACTTAAATAATTTGCGAATAGTGTTAGACAGATTACATGCAGCAGGTCTTAAGGCGAAATTAACAAAAGTGAGATTTTTACAAAAATCGGTTTCATTTTTAGGGGTGATAATTGATAAATTCGGTATACATCCTAACCCGGAAAAGGTGAAGGCTATCCGAAATGCACCAAAACCTAAAAATATACAACTTATATCTTTTCTAGGACTAGTTAATTATCATGAACGTTTTATTCGCAATCTACATTCTAAAGCGGCGCTACTACATAGATTAACGAGCGTGAAAGTACCTTGGCAGTGGTCGAAAGATGAACAAAATTCCTTCGATGAGGTTAAGAAATTATTGTCATCCGAGGAAACGTAAATTCCTTATAACGCGCAGTTGCCTATAATTTTGGAATGCGACGCATCTGATTCAGGATTAGGGGCTGTGTTGTTACATCAATTTGTAGACGGAAGGACAAAACCTATTTCGTTCGCGTCACGTACTTTATTAGAATCAGAGAAACACTACGCTCCGATTGATAAAGAAGCTCGAGCACTTTTATTTGGTATTGAAAAATTTCATTCATTTATTTATGGTAGAAAATTTTTACTTCGAACTGATCATAAACCATTAGAGCGATTATTTGGGGAGAAACGCGATTTACCTAAAATTTCTAATAATCGTTTGACACGTTGGGCCTGGAAGAT